TATCCCCCATCTGAGCTTCTCAGTATGCTGTTTTTGTTTTCTTTTGTTTCTAAGAGCAGGTGTGTAGTGCTGCTGGGGCTGCGCGACAAAACCTAATTTTTGAATCAAAGACTGTTTTGGGTTGGAAGGGCCCTTGAAGATGATCCAACCCCCTGCTATAGGCAGGGACACCCTCCCTCTAGACCAGGTTGCTCAAAGCCTCATCCAGCCTGGCCTTGAATGCTTCCAGGAAGAGGACATCCGCAGCCTCTCTGGGCAAACTGTCCCCAAGTCTTACCACCCTTATGCAAATATTTGACTCTGACTCTTCTTGCCAAGTGCTGTGGAAGTGTTATGTAAGACTTTTCCCTTTTGTTTTTCAATTTCAATGATAAAAGCTGCATTTCAAAATGAAATTTATGACCTCCGTGCATTTTCTTTTCTTCTTAGGCATCTTAAAAATCCTAGTTTGTAATCTCATTACATCCTAGTTGGTAATCTCATGTTTTTCTGACTGTTTTGCTAAAATAATCAGTTCTATCTTCCTCCTCCTGTTCTTCAGAACATTAATCGTTGGTCTACTTTTAACTTAAATTGTTCTGCTGTATACTGTATTATCTAGATTGTTTTGTTTTTCCTTGATGTAGGTGTACAGAATGATAAATTACTAAGCTTTGATCTAAAAGCAATTTCTACGCTTTTTCTACAAGCGTGGATTAATTTGTGTAGTATTGTGAAAAGTGCTTTAACTTTTAGTGTCCTGCTGGAAGAAGCTTGATTCCCTAATGGAGAATGATCTGAGAATGTTACCTTTTTTTTGCTTTAATAAAGGTTTAAATAGTTCTCAAGTGAATACTTAAATAATAGGAAGCTGCCTGATGTAAAAGTCTTGAGGCTTTTTTTGCCACATACTTCTGCATTTTAAGAACTAGTGCAAAGTTTTTTCCAACTGTCTTGTTCTTGTTCTAACACAGAAAGCCACTAATAACCAGTGATCTTTTAAAACTGAAGAAAAAAATGATCCATTTGAATTAGGTATGAGCTTACGCTCACCCTGCAGACAGTTTAGGTAGAACATTTAGTACAGTACTTATTCCAAAATGTCCTGCATGGGCCTGTTGTTTGATATCTGAACTGCACTTCTGTATAACTGTGTACATTGTGTGGGTTTTGCACATGGAATTTGGAGCACTGTATTTCTGACTTGCTGTGGACTGTGTATCTCAATAAGGAGTATGTGAAGAAAACTGATTGTGAGTGGTTACTTGAAAATTTCTGGTTTGTTCATTGCCTTGCAATGTGACAGGAATGGTGATTGGTGCAGATCCAGGAAAAAATAATAGTGGAATGAAGTCTTCATGACAGCAAAGGCAGTGTTTCTGGAAGTGTGTGCCACGCTCAGGAAGATGACCCATGTTCAAGTACCTCTGGCAATTGAAAGGAAGATTGCTGTGAAAAGTTGTCAAACTCTAACCCTGAGTATTCTGCTGTCTTATTTCCTTAATACACCAGGAGAACTGATGTGTTTTTCTGTTACACTTCAGTTTAAGGATTATCTTGAATGCTTTCTTGCTGTCACTTCTGGGTAGTATGAAGTGTAACCTGTTCCCTTTTTCATAGGGTTTTGCTGAGAAACCTCTGCTAGTAGACCAGATATGTTTTTAGGACTAAGATTTCACATGATGCTTTTAGCTTTTGAAGTAATTAATTGGCAGCTCATGCATCTATCTTGCTTGAGAGGCTGTTGAATGGCAATAGAATATGAACTTGATCAGACAATGGCAAGATGCAATATGCTATCAGTTTGGAGGCTGGCTACTGCTTTATTTTTTTTCCTGCTTTATCCTCCAGTGCATTTTTAAGAGATGAGCATAAGAAAGAGGCAGCTGGGATATTATGCTAGGATAAGGTGTTCTGGTTTATTGCAGACCATCTATGCCATTCAGGAGAGCTGAACTATGAAAGATACATTGGCATTGAACTTTATTCTCCCAACAGAAGAGCCTCTTGTTGTTGGAGGGTGTCAGGGAGAGGTTAAACTGTGGAAGATATGATTGTGGATTCTGTAGTAGAAACTGAGCCCTGCCTATCTTTCTTGTGAGGAGTTCTTTGGTACAGCTGCTACACAACTGCTGGAGTGTTTGTAATCTTTGTAACTAATTTTTGGCTAGGATCCTGTGAGCTGGCACAAAAAGGGTAAAAAGTGCAAAGAAAGGAAGTCGTTGCATTTTGTGTATGTATTTGGGTAGAAATGAATGGTGGCTTGTCAAGCAAATGGACAAGGAATGCAAGGTGTTGGGCTAGGCTTCCCTGATATATTGATTTAGACATGACAAGGCTAGATCTTCCTCTCAGCAAGAGCAATTTAGGCCAAAGCTGACAGCAGGCTTTGCCTGATTGTTTTGGGAATTCTGACTGTATTTTCATGATGCCTACTTCACGGAGAAATGTCTTTTCTAGCTTTGCCTGTCACAAATGTCTGGTGTGTTTATTTTCATTTTTCTCCTTTTCCTCAAGAGAAGCAAGTTTTCCTTCAAAAAGAAAGCTTGTAGATGCTTTTGCCGAAAATCTTTTTAATCAGGGTTTATGTTTGCAATCTTACCTGGATTAGAATAAAGCTTCCCATAGGAATCGAAGGCAGTTATGACCGTCTTGTCTTTCCTGTGGACTTGTTTCAAGGTCTTCATCTTAATTCTGTACTTAATACTTAGCATCAGGTTACTAAAGCTATAATGGTAACATGTTGGAGTAGATTTTTTTTAAATATTCTTTCTTATGACTTGTGGAATAAATCTTTCAGCCATGGCAGAAGCAATTCTGGAGAATAGGTTTGCTGCCTGTTCAGTGTCCACAGTTTCCATTGCTATTTGTGTACTATTTATTTGTGTAACAGCTGAAGAGTTTTCAGCCAGTGTGCTTGGGTAGCAGCGAGGAAGAAGAAAAAAATCCCAAGGCTGGTAAATGTGTAAGCAGAAGAAAAAACATTAAGCTTTCTTAAGAAAGAAAGATAAGAAAGTTGAGATCCTACTTTCAATATCAGCCAAACTCGTTTTTTGTTGCTTATTTTATTTTATTTTATTTTATTTTATTTTTTGTGGCTGTAAGGTTTTAACACAAGTTAACAATCTCAGTAGTTGAATAATTTTTACACAAGTGAATTCTCATGTGTCAAAACAGCTAGTCTTCTTGATCAACAGTTTGGGGGTTATATTCCACGCACAGCACCTGAAATGTTCTGAGCTTGACTGCTAACTAATAGTTTCCCTTGTTAATAAAGAATTTTCTGAATGCCAATAAAACTCCCAATAAATTATTTAAAAGCAAACAAACACAAAAACATTACTGTAGGACTTACAGATATGATTTCTGGGAAGGTAGTGTAGGTGTTTAGATTGCTGTGGATGTCGGTTAGTATTGTTTGCTAACGTGGTGGAGTTGGTCGTCATATTTTCCTTTGGAAGTGCTGTCCTGTCCTTTATACAAAGTTCTCTTGTATTGTGCTGCGGGAAGACTTCAACTGATTCACTTCAAAAGTAATACCTGCTGTTTGTTTCCATGGAAACTACAACAAATATGAAGTGCATAGTAGTGCTATTTGATAGAGCAAATTTTCAGCTTCAGAACAGTACTTTTCAACACAATCACCACCATTTATCCAATTCACATGGATGAACTCTTCATTTCATGATGACAGCTGTGCATGGCCATCTGGAACATGGCTTGTCTTTGATGCTGTTGGTGCTGCTGGAACTCACCGTCTCACTGTGCTCACATCCACTGTTTGGTCTCCATGAAAGTTCAGCAAGCATTGATGAGCACCAGTGGGTGCCATTTTTTCCACATGGAGCAACTCAGTCCTACACCTTTGCTTCATAAATACTTCCATGTCAGACACCGTTCTGTCAGACTGCCTCTCAGCTGCCATGGCAATAGAAAGTAACTGAATGTTATTGGTGGGAAGGTTCAGCCTCAGCCTCTACTGCCATACCACCAACATCTGCCTCTGGCATTGTGAGCCCTTGTTTGTGTCATGCCATTGGTGCTGGGTCATCAGATCTAGTATGTTTACTTATTTCCTCCAAAATCTCAGAGCATTTTGGTTACAGTGGATTGCTAGTTCCAGCAAGCCAAATATCTGCCGTACAAATGGGTGCTTCAAATAGTTGAAATAGTTGAAGTTAAAATCGTTGAGGGATGATTGTTTGGTCCTTGTTGCTCCAATGATTAAAAGTCATTCTGCAAAATGATTTTTTACATTGGTTTTTGAGCTCTTTGAGTCCTGGATACACGTTTGCTTACTCATATATAAATGCAGCCCCTTTTCCAACTGACTTGCTTTCTGTTTAGAACTGACAATTTTATTGAGGTCAGGTTTGGGACTTTGAATGCAAAGCTGAGACAAACGAATATTTCCTGTTGTTGCTATGAGTGAGTGTCATAGTGAATACTTTATATCTAATTATCAAGCATTAATATTTTATGATTGGCAGTGATCAGTGATTTATAACAGTTGCATAATGAAACAACAGTTAGGAGTGAATGAGTAGCAGTACGCTTTACTTGAAAGCTGTGTTAACTAATGGTTAAAAAGGGAGATAGTTCTGTGGGACTGAAGAATTTATAGACGTTTTTGTCCTATGTTTTTTCTGATGTATGTATTAATGTGTATCCTGGATATTTGAGATGGATGGATGCATCTGCACATGAAAACTTAAGTTAAATCCAATTAGTTCCCTGCACTGTCATTTGCTTTTTGTAAGCTAAAGTGAAAGTGTCATCTGAAACACATTGACTTTCTATAATTTTATCTTATAAATAGGCCTGTCACTGAATTTATTTTGTTCTTGTTTTACTGCTGTTAAATTTTACTCTTTGAGGATCTCCATTCTGGAGTATTAATATTCACTAGCTATGAATTCAGACCGAGTAGCAAACAGTTGAGCACACTGTAAGTGGATGTTAGAAAAGTTTTGAAATAACTTTATTTTAATTGAAATCAAAATTGCTTTTTGTTTTCTCAGCAAATACGTATCTCTTCATGGTGCAAGCTCGTGGTATAATGCTGAGGGAAAATGTAAAAACAATAGGACACATGATCAGATTGTATACGAACAAAAATACAACACTGAACGGAACAGGTAAGAAAATTTGTTATTTAATTTCATTTCTATAAGATTTTGGGGGGGGGTGAGTGTGGGGGGGGAACCTACACAAACAAACCTTGATGTCTTAGCTTGACTATGAAAACCTAGAAACATATCCAATTTTTCAGTGACTGTGGAGAAGGCCAAAGAATTAATGTTTATCAGTTCATTTTAACAGTGAAAATGTCGTAGCTGTAACACAGAGATTGCAAGTGAATTACTGGCCTTGTGATAGAATGGTTTTTCATCGCGCTGTAAGGAATTTTGTATTTACAAAGTCAGTGGTGTCAACTGTGTGATAATCCAATGATTTTGTATCATATTACTTAGATTTTTTCATCGATCATTCCCTCTTTTTAAGATTATCCTGAAGGAAACAATTCTAGTGACTGTGTTGCTCAAACAACAATGTATCTTCCAGAAAACTTCACTTACTCTCCTTACCAGGCTTGTCCAGAGAAACTGCCTTACATGAGTAAGTTTAAAACTGTTCTTAATCTTATGTAGTCAATTGGATTGTACTTAAAGTGCAACGTAATTATTTTAATTAAAAAAAAAAAATTAATACTAAATATTTTAGTTTTCCTACTTTGGGGATGTAATAAAAAGTTCCAACAGCATCAAACGTAAAGAATCAGAGAAACAGAGTGATGTTTATGTTGATATAAAAATGCATATAAGCATTATAAGTATTTATAAGGAAACTTTCAAGGAATCTGATAGTTGCCTGTTGTATGCTTTGTAGAGTTAGACCTGCCATCATAATTGAAATTAATAAATATTTTTCTTCTATATAGGAGGCCTTATTGATGTAAATATGAGTGAAATTAGTTTTGATGAAATTCAGCAATTATTTTCAAAAGACTTAGACATCAAACCAGGAGGACACTGGAAGCCCAAAGACTGTAAGCCACGATGGAAGGTGAGGTGTTTCTTTGCTTTTTTTTTTCTTGTTTGAATTCAATTGCAAGTACTCAGTCTTCTATTGGTATGGTTTTTATTATATGTAGTATATTAAAGTGTGTGTATTGTGCTCAGAGACTAAAGCTTGTTGCAAAACATGAAATGGATTGTCATGAGCTGTAATTAAACACTTTGTTATGTAGCCATAAACTTGTCCTATGTGTATGTTGCTTAAAGTGTAACTAGAAGCAAATTATCATAAAATGAAAATTACATTCAACTTTTACTTAAAGATACTTTCTTCTCACTTCAGCTGCTTGATCAAAATTCGAACTTGCTTTCTTAATGGAAATGACATATTTTAGAACACTGAGATAATTTATTATGTACAATGGTAGAACAGTTAATCTGTATTAAATAAAGCATAATTAAGAAATATTAACAAAATAATTTTACATAAATAATGTTTGAAGGTGGCGATCATCATTCCTTTCCGTAATCGTCATGAGCATCTTCCCATTTTCTTCCGGCACCTGATACCGATGTTGCAGAAACAGCGGCTGGAATTTGCCTTCTATGTTGTTGAACAGGTAACAACATTGGCTTGAAAAATGAATCCTTAGGATTCCTTTCTAAAGGAGATCTGACTTTTTTTTTTAACCAAGATTTAGATGAATCAAGAATTTAAAAATTGTCACGCTTGATGTTATGCTTGCTCTGGGCAACCTACCTGTGGGTGTCCCTGTTCATTGCTGAGGAGCTGGACTAGATGACCTTTACAGGTCCCTTCTAGTTCTAAGGATTCTATGATTCCATGTTCTAATTCTTTGAGTGAAAAGGCAATGTTCAGCTTCGTCCTAAGGATTAGCCTGTGTTGCTTTTTTTTTCCCAAGTACAGGCTAGTATTTTGTAGAGATAATATAACCCATCTTCTTGGAATCTATTGTCATTTTAAGTTTTCAAGCTTAAACAAACAAACCAAAAGAAAACAAAAACAAACAAACAAAAAACAAAAAAGACCCACATTTGTTTTATGGGGAGAGGTTTGGAAATGATCATTTAGAGAAGTACATTTTACAATATGTACTTGATGAAATCCATTCAAAGCCACTAGCTTTAATGTGTGTGCTATCTGGTTAATAGAAGTGAAATATAATGGCAGTGTTGATAGTACAGCATTACTAACTAGCTAGAGACTGAGACTCTTCAGAAACAGTGAGGAATGGACGTAGAGGGAAAAAAACAATCAGCCAACAGAGTGTCTGCAAGTCACAGTGAAGAAAGAAAGTAGTTGAGATTAATGGAAGAATCTGTTGTTGGCTTTAGTAGATAAGTAGATCTCTGAAGAAATTACTGGATTTCTCATGGCTTACCTTATGTGGCATTTTCAGGTGACAATTGGAAAAGTAGCAAGCAAAGGAAAAGATCAACAATTGTCATTAAATCATGTGGAATGCATTTGCTTTATGGATCAGTCTTATTAGTTATATTGTCTCATTTGTTCGAAATAGAAATACGAAGATTTAAATTTTGAAATTAAAAGAACTTGAATCTAATTTCATTAAAATTTCTCAGAAACTGGAATTAAGTTCTAAGGTGATAATTATAATTAATATAATTAATTATAATTACATAATAACAAAAGCTTCACATACTTCAGGTAACTGATAACATCATGCTATACTGACAAATGCTGTAAGTTGCTAGTGCTGTTAAGTTTTGTGCAAGATGGAAAGCTGTTTCAGACTGCTAAACCACAAAGTACAGTTGATAATGTTAACCAGAGCCATTCCTCTGTTTAACTACAGAAATAACAGGCATCAACAAGTGAATACTTATTTTTTCTTTTTGTGTGGAATATAGTGTGTTTCTCTGGTGTTGAAAGTATGTCTCTTTCTTCCTTGTTTGCTGTTTGAAGACAGGTACACAACCTTTTAATCGTGCAATGCTCTTCAACGTTGGCTTCAAGGAGGCTATGAAGGATGTTGTCTGGGACTGCATAATATTTCATGATGTGGATCACTTACCTGAAAATGACCGCAATTATTACGGATGTGGAGAAATGCCACGTCATTTTGCAGCAAAGCTGGACAAATACATGTACATGTAAGTAATGAGCTTTATCCATGTTGTTTCTGGGTCTTTAAGAAACATTCTTGAAGCGTATGTAATTCTTTCAAAGTAAATCCAATAGATGAACATTGTTTCAGATTTTCTGTTTCATTAAAACAGACTTCACTGTAGCAGGTACTGAGTGAAGAATGTGTCTATAAATCATGCAAGTTAATATTGATTCTTGATTTTTTTTTTTAATAGTGAGGAAATATTTTGAGGACTGGAAATCCTGTTGCACAAGTCTCCTGGTGTATATCTATTGCATTATATAGGAATATTGGCTGCTTTTGTTGGTCAGCTGCATATTACTTAATAATTATGAGCTAGTGCTTAGTGTATGCTTACTGGAAAAAAATACATACCTATATATCTATATATACCTTTGATTTAAAAATTTACTTTCTAAAACCTGGAAATCTAAATTTTTCATTATTAAGTAGATAAGTATTTTACTATAGTTGAATATATACTATTAAACTGATCCTTTTTAACTTTTAACCATTCCATAGAATACAGCTGAGAATTAAAATTACTGAATTGATGCTTTACTGATTGCTGATTTATTATTATTGTTATTCCATTGCTTTTTTAAATAAGTGTTTTTTTTTCTTCTTGGTTGAGTAGTTTGAAAGATAATTGGAAGGTTTCATTTCATACTTTCAGCTTTGGATCTAAATCAGCCATCTGAAATATGTGGTAGATTTATGTTACAAATTTGAGCTACAGCTACAGATTTGAGACATAAATTTAAGTGTGAGGGTAGCTCTCATGCATAGAATAGAATCACAGAATCACCAAGGGTGGAAAAGACCTAAAAGATCACCCAGTCCAACCGTTCACCTATTCCCAATAGTTCCCACTAAACCATGTCCCTCAACACAACATCCAGTCTTTCCTTGAACACCCCCAGGGTCGATACCTCCCTGGGCAGAAATCTAATGCAAATCTAATGCTGCTGTAAACATTTAATGTGACTTCAATGTGTATTAATGCCAGTGATCTGTGAGTCAGTTTATCTTAGCAGATGCATTCTGCTTCTGTACATGTCCTCAGTTATGGATTCTTTGTGTTTTATTGAAGGGTATTTCTCAATAAGAGGACTATTTACCTAAGTCCAGATAAGAATATGAAATTTGTTTGTCTTTTTCAGACTTCCGTACAATGAGTTCTTTGGTGGTGTAAGTGGCCTGACAGTGGAACAATTCAAGAAGATTAATGGATTTCCAAATGCCTTCTGGGGATGGGGTGGGGAAGATGATGATCTTTGGAACAGGTGAACGTTCAATACTTACTGTATCTTTTTGATTGTTCTACGGTATCCAATGTCTGTGAACAATCAAAATTTGTTTTAGATTGATAAATTCTGTTGTTTTAAGGAATAAAAAGAATGAGTATGACATTCTTTTTTTTTTTTTTTTTTCTTGGCCTTATTGGTTTGGGTATGTAACAGACTCTTAAGAGAGAGATCTTTTAACACACAGTAGATATAGCAACAGATAATAGTATTAAGTATATTAGTCTCATTCCTCCTAGTCCTTTGTGTATAGCTTTTTACTTTTAATATGTCTCTACTGCTAGCATTACAGAATACCATGTTACAGGCTGTAGAGTAAGGATGAATTTCAGCTATATTTAATATCTTAAGAACTGTGAATGGTAATTTTGGCCCTACAGATGGTCACAAATTGGATAACGGACAGCAGCGTTTGCCATGTTACTAACTGCTCACAGTAAACAACTGTAAATTCCAGTGGACTTCTTAAAACATGAGTTCTTATACAGAGGGGGGTATTTTAAAAGAAGAATTTGTTTTTTTCCTTTCCCTGCTATTCTCGTATTTTTCATCCTGTTGTGCCTTAAACATACAATGATTAATGTTCCCTACTTAATTAGTTTTTGACAGCATTATTATTTGTTAAGACAGAAGGGATTTTCTTGAGGGAGAGAATGTCAGTGAATGCAAAGACTGAGCTTTAAAACGGTTAATGCACAGTTTTCACTTTTGCTGTAACTTAAAAAAAACAAAGGCATTTTTGATATTTTGTTTATTGCACTTTAGGGTTCACTATGCTGGATACAATGTAACAAGACCAGAGGGAGATTTAGGGAAATACAAATCCATTCCTCATCATCACAGAGGTGAAGTCCAGTTTTTAGGAAGGTAAGAAAAACTAAAAACTAATCAAACACTGCAGCTAACGATGTAAAGATTTTCTTACATATATCTTCATGCACAAATAAGCAGTCAGTGCTTGTAAGTGTTGCTCCCTCTTCAGTGCTGAATTCCATGTCTTTTAAACGTATGTGTTTTGTTCCGGTATTTTTTTTTTAACTAAGTTTGTGTGTCAGGAGATGTTATTATCTTTGATGCAGAAAATTGTAGTTCCTTTATAGTTTGGACACTAGTGTTGGAAGAGCTTTACTACTTTGCTGATTTAGATATTCTGCATAAGGAAGCAGAACAGCTGGGAATGATGATTTGTGTGAAAACAGACTTCAGGACTCCTCAAGGGTTGTTTTCTTCTATTATATATCATTGTATTCTGAGATGAAGGTCGTCTTGTTTCTTGGTCGTGTGGACTTCAGCTTTCTGTTTTGTGGTTCCTTTCTCATGCAGAACACTCTGGCTACCCTAGATTAGAATAGCAACCAGAATGTAGCACATCAGCTGCATCTTCAAGTTGTAATGTGAAGCACAAAATATAGGATTTCTGGTATGTTTGCAAATAACTAGAAATCCTGCTCAGTTTTGCTATCAGTGGATGTCTTTTTTTTTTTTTTTTTTTTTGGGAGCATCATTCATTAAAAGTAATGAATAAAGCTGAAAATGGTCATATACAGCAGATATGAGTAAATATGTGCTGTAAAAATATATGCTAAAATGTACACGTCAGTAACCAATGAGGAAAAAATGCTTTTTAATCTGCAATTTAGATATTTGCAAATGCAGGAATCTAAAGTATGAAATGTAAAGAAATTCAGACATCTTAAATGTATGCTAATGCACAGTGAAGGCATCTAGATCATATCTCCACAGTGAGTTATCTAGCACAGAATAGTAAAGAAACTGAATGTCCCTTTAAAAAGAAATTTAGTTTGGAATTACAAAAAGTACATGGATTGCCCCAAAAGCAAAGCCACAATTTCCATAAAAACTACAACAGATACAAAGAGCACAATAGCACTGTGATAGAGCAGATTCTCAGCTAATAACCACTATTTTCCAACATAGTTGCTGCCATTAACTATGCATTTTTGCCAGCAATGAACAAGAGCCCTGTGTACCACACTCATAAAAATCTCCTCAACCATTTGAAACATGGCTTGTCTCTGTCACTGCTGTCAGTGCTGAAGTGCACCAACCTAACTGTGCTCACATCCACTGTTTGGTCACTGGAAGTGTTCAGCAAACATGAATGAACGTCAAGGAGCGTCAGTCTTTCTGCATGGTGGAATTCAATTCCATGCACACTTCCATGTCAGATACCATTTTGTTGGTGTGCCCTTCCTCTACCATTGCCACATGGCAATAAAATGTATTGGCATGGAAGGTTCAACCTCTGCTACCATACCACCAACATCCACCTCTGATCTTGTTATATGGTCTCGAGATCAGCTTGTATGCATAAACAAAGTCAAAGTGTTTAGGGGGGGAAAAAAAAAAGCCCAAGTGGCAGCTTTTGAACTTTAGGTAAATCAGTGATTTTAAAAAACTGAAAGATAGTTTCAGGGTTAAAGGTGGTAGTCTTCCATACTGATGTGACTGTTACTGTATCATGCCTAACAAATTGAATGGTTTCCTGCAAATCTTTCTCATGTTGTCTTCTTCCAACTCTCTCTACAGATATAAACTTCTGAGGTATTCCAGAGAACGTCAGTATATTGATGGGTTGAACAATTTAGTATACACTCCTAAAATACTTGTCAGTAGATTGTATAAAAATGTAACTGTTAATCTTACGCCAGAACTTGCTCCTATTAGAGACTATTGATGGAAATGGTGTGGCAAGCTATCCTAGTGGAGTAAACTTTTAATGCACTGGAAGGTATTAATAGACACTGAAGACACTGTAAAACAAAAAACACAACATCTTAGAATTAGGGGTTTTTGTCCTTTTGATGATGCATATTTGGGATGAGAAGTAAAGTGATTGTATTTGCCATGCATTCTGTTCAGAAAGAAAAGCCAGCAGCTACCACTCAGATGTTTACAGCATGAGACTACTGTTCAAGCCTTCGTTCTCCATATTCTCTATCTTAACCACTCAGCTAAATAAACTGCAGAAAACAGACTTGCTAGCTTCACTGGAAGTAGAGACATTCTTCTTCCAGGACTTCTTTTATACTAAATTGCTCCCACTCTGCCCTCCTGTATTTAAATGAATGCTTTTGTTCCTTTTTAAAATGTGTTTTGTAAATATGTGATGTAAATTAATGTGTGTACATTGCTTTTAAATTGCTCAATATTTTATGCTCCAGTATGTATTTGAGTGTGTTCTTGCTTGAATTCTATAGGAATGTTTTTATTAGCATGAAAGAACAAGTGTGAAATGTAAGTATCCTTAAAAAAGGTTATACCTTATGTGAAATGAAGGAAATATTAATTGTTGGCCAGCTATGACTTTAAACTGTTATACTAGTTTTGAGCTCTAGGCCTCCTGCATATCTATATAGAAGAATCAATTTCATATATGAACTTTCTCAAAAGAAAGCTATTAATTTTATTTATTGCCAGCAAAATTATACCCTGCCTGCCATCTAAATCATATTTATATGCCTATTGCATGCGTATTATGGAAAATCTTGCAGTTGTTACATTCTATGATCTACAGGAACTCTTAAATGTTTTCACGTGTGCCACTGGTGTCAATGTCAGGGATTTTAATGCTAAAACAATGTGTCTGGGTGCATACAGTATTTTGGTATTGTCTTTTTTTAATACTATTGAAAAGCACTTTTATTCCTCCAAAATCAGAAGAGCCAAAAATGTGTCTTCATTGGAAGAATATTAAAGTTAGATTTTAAAGAAAATAAGAAAACATAGTTCTAATGCTTGCAGTGTGGGATTTTCAGGAACATGGTGTGGGTCAAACTGTTCCACTTATAACTGCATAAGTGCAACTGAAATTAAGCTAAGTGCTTTTTAAATTTCCACCTATAATATATTAATCAATATAGCTATTGAAGGGCCTATTCTAGTACAGTGCTGAATGCTTTTATGATGCACTGAGTATCCTCAAGTCTATGACTTCAGATGAGATTGAGGTTGCACAGTTCCACTAAGAATTGGTCCTGTCTGTTTCTCTATTTTTGTGGTGTAAAATGTATGAGTAACTAGCCTCTCTCCTTGGCTTAGAATGAAAAACATTATTTTCCTATTATCTGTTTGTTTGTAATGTTAAGCTACTTATAAGTAACTCAATGCTAAGAAGAATTTTTTCCTAACTTTTTTTTTACATTCTTCTTTTAGCAGTAAGGAAAAGGACTGAATCATTTATTTTCTATGTTAATGCAAATATAGTCTAAGCTCTCCTGAACTGTTTTGTTTGTCGCAGTTATTCAATTCTTTTAGGAACCAAAGACTGACTTCTGCTCCTGTAAAGAATGGAAAGCAGTATAGGATTGTTTATCCATAGAGCGTTCTGTAAGAGTATAGACAAAAAATACTAACTCATTACTATGTGTTGGTTTCCTGAATTGCTGCCACAAATAATGTGGTGCTATGTTTATTTTGTTTGCCATAAACACTTTTTATTTTCCTTGACGTCCCAGCAATAAATCTTACTCTTAGTCATTCTTAGGTAAAGTTAGGATTTTACTTAGACATCCCGAATGTTTTGTAGAAATGTAGTGATTTAATTGTAGTACTTGAGAACAATTATAAGGGATAAACCTTATGGGAATTACCCTGAAATCTACCAGTTTATCTAATATGCATTAGCAATGATGTGGTCCAAAATAACGAAAAGTACAAAGTGAACAGAACATCTTTTCAAAAGTTAGATCACCTCCTGATATATTTTTATAACTGAGTGTATAGGATATTCTGAAGCACATGGATAAAGGGAGGTAATTAATATATCAACATATTTATGTAAAAAACATGATCAACAACATCTTCAAAATAAAGTTGGTCTTATTTCGTAACGGACTAATACAATTCTTTAAGAACTGTTGAATAAACCTTAAATTGTCGTAATTTTGAAGTGATTTCTGGTTTTCAGTACAAAGGTCACCTATGATTCAACACCTATGATTACCAAACATCTTTGGTATTGTAGGTCTGTACTGTTTTCTGAACCATGCTTTTGTGCCCGTTCGATAGGCATTCTGTGAAATGTGCGATTTTTAACCATTCAAGTGCATATATATATGCATGGTTACATATATACGTAGTATGTTACACATATGCTGTGGCTGAACTAACATAACTTCACAGCTGTAAGTGATTAATCATGTCTGGTCTTAGGAAAAATATAATTTTAAACTGGGATGTGAGTGGATTATGGCATATAGCAGAGTTCTTGAAAAGTTTGCGTTTTGGTGCCCCAAAGTGATGGATGTTACTTGATGAAATGTTAACTAACACTCCTCTCTAAATAACTTCGATCACTTTGTTGAGAAGTTTTCAAAGGTGCCATCTTAAATTACATCAAAATAATGTTTGTATACCATCTGCTTGAGCTCAGTACTATTCTGTATTTAATTTTAACCTAGACAGTGCCTTCAAACAAAATAAATGTGGTGCAGAACTAAGAATTCTGTACGTTCCTTTTGATATTTTTCATAATTCTTGTAAAACATGGGGGGAGGCCAAGCACATTGCTGATGAGGCAAATAAAGAGCATCTTCTCTTCAAGGAGTTAATTTGGAGGGGGGGAGAAAGGAATTATTTTTACAAGGTTCAGAAGGTCTTGCAGTTGAGAATAAAGATTTTACGGAAATATTAACGGTTGAATCTGCTTCATATACTCAGATGCTCTTCAGTGCATTTTCCACAATATAAAACTAAATAGGAGAATATAAAATATAAAATCCATTTCAAAATAGAGGCTATATTGAAAAATGTACAAAATTTCCTTTTTTTTTTTTTTTTTTTTAGATCTTGCCAGTCTATTTTTCTATTACGTTTGCTAATGACTGTGTTGAAGTGGATTGCTAATGAGCCAGTTAATTTAAAATATTATAAGTACCCACTGCTTATCAGCAAGAGGAAGTGTACTTAAGATTATTTTATTTGTAGAGGTATGTAAGATAGGCTTAATGAAAAATGCACTGAAACATATGCTGGGAATTTCCTGTGTACTATCATCTTGTTTTTTTTTTTTTCTGTTGTTCATGAGAATGTTTGTACTTTTTTATCATTGTCTTTTATGAAATATAACATTCTAAAGAGTGTGTTGGTTTCGTTATTCTTAGGCTTTCTGGAGAGGTGTTTTGATGATAAAGTGCTGATTTTTTTCTAGTGCATAACTTCTTGAAATAACAGGAAGAGGAAGGGGAAATTGGGCAACCAATGAATCAGGCTAGGCTGTGGTGGGGTGACTTTTGTTAATTCTCCTAATAGCTCTTCTCTGCTCTTTAAGAGTAATTTTCCTTGTACGTGATTTACAATAGTGTGAAAAACATGAATGAATCCTATCTGTTGGCTGATTTTCTCAGGAACAAGCAGTTGTCCTTTGTACCTTTTCCTTTTATCTTAGAGTTATTATTAATGTCTGAATACTAGAAGTATGTAATTTTTTGGAGTACTTAAACTGAAGCCAAAGGTATTTGCAGAACTCTATGGATCTTTTGAGAATCCACAAATAACTTCAAGTATGTTTAATGATTTTAATTTTCTGCAATAGTAGATATGGATTCTCTTGAAAGTGTTATCAGCTATATTTAGGAGTGGGAAAGGAGGCTTTTTGAGTTTGTGTAGAATCTTTGCATACTCTTATTTACCCTGTTGTCACTCAAAAGCTTCTTCTATGTGTGTGGCCCCATGTGATTTCATCCACTGTGGGCTTTAATAATAAGATATAGGTGATGGCAAGTAGTGGTTTACATTTCCCATGTGCTCACTTACCTTTCAGGTTTATTTTGTTCACTTTCTTTACGAGGAATGTAGCTTATTAACTTCACAGAAGACTTTGGTCAGTACATTTTTTTTTTTTATAAACTTAATGTGTTTCTCTGAATGCTTTTATTCACAAGAGTGATTGAAAGCAAAGTCAATACATCTTCCTAAAGTTAACAAAAGGAATAAACAACTTGACGTTTGCTGTTAGTGATTTACTCTGGGAAGTGCTATGTAAATTCTAAAACCGTTACCAAAGTCAGAAACTATTCGGTAGAGTTTATGGAAACTTTAATTTACACATCTAAAGCCTTATGCTTAATGTCGAGTTTCTATTCCACCGGCTCACTGACTACTGCTGTAGTTGAGTAAGAAAAGGGACTGAGGACAGTAGCGATGAAGTAATGTCGATAACCAACATCGTTAGCTGTGAATACCACCTAGAAAAAGAAACAATAAATGCAGGACGAATGAGAAGTGATCTCTAGACACAAGCCTACATGTAGGTGAAACCATTGTGGTTGTCTGTCTACACTGAGCTTCCGCAAGACTTTGGAAATATCTTTTCTTCTTGTAATGTGGTCAGTATTCGTCACACGTTTCCACTGTTTGAGAAACTTTTGTTAAAAGCATAAATGTAACTTAAAGAATATTCTTTATAATTATTAAACATTTATGATTTAAATTGAGTTTTCTTTGTTGATACTGGTAAATGACAAGATTTTTTTTTCCTTTAAGAGCTAGGTTGAACACTTTACCTCTTTTTTTTTTTCGGTTGCTTTCTTAAAGTTTAAAGTATATTTTATATAGTATATTTTTTTAAATTTAAAGTATATTTTCAAGTATCTGAACAGTTTTGTTCTTACAAAGTCCTAAATATTGAGAAACAAAATTAAACAGTATTACAGCAAATATATTCAGTCAAAAATATGAAGCAAAGCAATCCTACTTGAGTTTCTAGTAGTTTCAGGACTGCATTAGTCCTTTGGCCACGACCTTGTGTAGGAGAGTTATTTACAACAGCCCTTTTAACATCTCCTTCACCTGCTCATCTCCTTTTCTTCAATTCCTCCTTTTAGACTAGTTGACTATTTTGTGCTGGGAGAAGATAGGAGTTAGAGAATGTAAACATTTAGAACAGTTCATTAACACTGTGATGCTTTTGTTCCTTTCATCATTAACTGAAAAAAATGCTTGTGAAAATTGAAACAGTTGATAATAAAAATTCATACATATTTGAAAGTGAACTAAAGAAAATGCGATCCCTATGAAGGCTTACTCTTAAGAAAGGAAGCTCTTTCACTCTCTATTAAATTCATGTCTATATTCCAGACTGGAAATTAACGTTATGATATATAATCATAACTTGCATGTTATAAATCTTACATCTCTTTCATTTCTGTTATCGCAGAAAGAAAGATTGCCCAGTATTAACATTCACTGTCATCTACTCATTTTAGGGAAGCCAAAATAAAGCTTGATCTGGGTAGCTGCTACCTTTTCTCCAAAGAGTTGTGGAGTGGATGTTTGCAAACCAAAGCAATTTACAAAGCAATTGCAAACCATACAGCTATTGGTGCTTACTGATCTGTCATAGACCAGCAAACAGGCAGTACAGATCTGCTGTGGTTATTGCAGTGTAGCAACATGTGAAGGAGCTGATACTATCAAGGGGAGGAGGACAGTCTCCCAGGAGCCCCAAACACTGGAATTGGTTGATACCTGGTTTGGACAACTTTTACCTAGCTAGTTTATCTGTCAGAAAGAGTCATAGGCTTCAGCAGAAGCAGAAGAATGGAAGACCTCTTCGTAAGTAATGCATCTAAGAGCTCACTGAGAGTAGTGGGGGAGCTGGTAACTATGTTTTGTCATGAACATGTTACCAGAATGTTTTGAGACTGCAAATTTTAAATGTTAATGCTAAAGCATTTTAAAGCAAAAGGTTCAACATGTGTAATTATTAATTGAATCCTAGATGTATAATGCATCTTTATTCTTTGCAACTGACATACAGAATAAAATAAGTACTTACATCAGCATGCTGATGGAAGGGATTCAAACCCAGTTTCTTCCAGTAAGAGGCTGTATCAAGCTCAATCTTATATATCCCTGTTACAAATTGTTCTTTAGTTGTAAGCTCTTGAAGCACTCCGTTTTCATTGGTTTGTCTGTGTGATGGCAGAAGAACGCACTTTAATATTTCAATCAAAACCCAATAAAAATTCAGCTTTTTAGCAATTGCACTTAAGTCATGTTGCGTAGCTTAAGTAATGTTGTGAGTACTTCCTTTGATCTGTAATGACTTCTGTCCATCTGTATTATGGATGTCTTACAGATCTTATCGTGACATTTATTGCTTCCACAATCAAAACAGTGCGTGGCTGCCTGCCATGTCACGACTCTGCGTGGTCTAGGGATGAGCCAAATGTTGGTATAATTGTTCATAGGCTCTTGGCAGTGTGTTGGAGTTAATTAAATGAACTCACAGGGAAACATTGCTGTAAGCAATGCAAAAGCTCTGTGATGCACTTAGCTATGTGAGTAGGGTCAACTCTTGATTTTTCCGTAGTTGTTTCTCTTATTTAAATATGTTGAGTTGTTTTATCAATATAAGTATTAATGAGTCACCAATTTTAAACTTGAAATCTACTATTGGAAATGATTGTAGGTCAGCCAACAGTGTGGTATTTCAGAATTCTTTGTTGTTTTTGCTGATCAGCTGTTTTCTATCCTCATACAACAGATGATATTTGAATTAAAGGTGCTATCGGTGTTACCCTGGAGTATAGAGCTGGCTTGAAACTGTACACCTTGGAATACCAGCCAAACTGGGATGCCAGAAACAATATTGAATGCTGTCTCTCAAACATACCTCTTGGTTGAAATCTATTTCTGTGAAATAAGTTTTATGAAACTACGTTTTTCACTGAGTAGGTTATCCACAAATAAGTTCTGTAAGTGCCTGCTTTGAGTAGTCACAGACCACTGTATCATGTTCCAGCTGCCAAATCTTTTTTTCATTCCATGCAGAAAAAAGAATAGAATGTTATTCGTGTCATGGTCCACTATTACTTAGATTTTGTATTTCTGTGTAGCTTATAGATATGAAGTCATTTGCTTCTTGAGAGATGCTCCTTAGTCAGTTGGCAGATTTTTTTTTTTTGTCCTTGTCATAGCTTGATTACTTTTAGATAAGTGTTTAATAAGCTTTCTCAGGTAAAACCCAACATGTATTTAGTTGAGAATAGTTATTTTTGAATCCCTTCCTAACATTCCATTATTTATAGACAATCAGGACTGGAGAAATTGACTTAGTATTACTGCAGCTTTCCGTACACCTTTGTTTCAACATGAAACGTGTTTTAAGGCTCTGATTAACATCCAGCTGCTCAGCTCTGTATCTTTAAATTACGCTGCTGAGCTCAGACTTGAAAGTAACTAAGATGAACATCTTCTTAATGGAAAATTACATACATTTCCAGTGACAGAATATGTTTGAACCTACTTTATTTGTGAAAGGTAAATTATTTAACAAGGACAACGTGAATAGATAAAGTTCTTTTTCCCCTACTTGTGCAAATATGCATGACCTTCACTGTAGCTATGTTTGTTAAGGGCACATATGAGAGCCATGTTGCTTCTTCCAGCCCACTGCTCTATTACACCAGAGTCACAGACGTACAATTTCTTGTGAGCTGTCTGCAAATGCATCTGTGCCTGGTATACTTCCTGCAGTATGTTGGCTTTTGCACGCATGAGCCCTGTGTCACCTTTTGATAGGTAGAATGTACCATTAACAGAGTCCTGAGAAGACAGTCTCAGGTGGGACTTTGCAAATATCTTGGATTTTCTCATGTTGGCTGATTACTTTTCCTTGAAATAAAGGAGGCTATCAATTATTATGTGGTATACGTTTAAAAAAATTGCATGTTTTATTTCTAATGCTGTACTGTTTTAGCAAATGAGAGCCCATCTGAAAAGACCAGAAGTAACAAATAAAGGTAGAATTCTCAATCACAGTCTTAGTCTCAAACAAAAAGAGTCTGTTTGACTCCTCTGGTAATAATGCAGCACTTCATTGGTGGGTATTAAAAGGAAATATGAGGCTTTGTAATAAAATTACATTATAAAACTGTTTTGGTAGTTGAAACTGTACTGTTAAAAGACAACCTGCAGCAAATAAAATGTAATTCATTCAATAGTGTGTCTTCTCTCTGATTAAAAGTTTGTTAGAAACTCTTGTCTTTCCCATTGCCTTTCCCTTCTCTCACTTCATACTTCGGTATGACTTACTTTGAATTTAACAGTTCCCAAGATCCATCTGCAGCTGCTTTATATAACTTAACTGGAACATTTGGAGCTGGACTTCCTCGGACTGAATCCAGAATTCTTACAACAAGAGGATGCTTGGAATCAGAAGAGCCCTTCAGGTAGGGAGAGAGAATTGTTTATGTTGGAAGAAAGGTAAGAAGTGGGACATAATAAAGCAATAAGGAGTCTTGTTCTTTAGCTTTACAGTCTTCTCCACAAGATTACTGTGTACTCAGAAATACAGCCTGAATGTTACTTGAGGCTGGAGACAGTAGAACCAAGGAGGAGGATATCAGCAGGTGTAGAGAGTCAAGGAGTTGTGTGCAATATGTAGACACAGCGGTTGTGTGTGAAAATGCCTTTTTGTTTTCCCTTGGGGATGGTTCACATACGCATCATTCGCAGCATAATTTTTAATCAAATTGTGACCCAGACACTAAATAATTAAATCATCAAAAGTAGCAAAAATGTTCAAAAATCAGGCAACTTTTCCTCTACGTTTTGGAGTATTTGCCCTCTATGTTTTGCAGTTTGAGCAGAACTTTCTGAATTTGTTGGCTTCTTTCTGATCTAGTCATCTTACTGAAGAATTATCTTAATTCAGCTGTGAACTTGATAACTAGCACATACTATCTTCCCTAATGACAAAAAGGATCAGATTTTTTGTCCCCTGGCAGTTATGCATGGGGTAGAAGAGGAACTTTTTTATTTTCAGCTATGGGATGGTGATAATTTCCCTCCCATCACATCACAAGGCATGTTGTTTATGGTGTTTTTACATTCTCAAAAGGAAAGTTGAATCAAGGCTTTATCTTTCCATTACCTAATTCTATAAGTGAAAAGTGAGAAAATAAAGCTATGTAGAAGGTGCTAATCAGAGGTCCACTTAGAATAGAGATCATTGATCTCCATTTAATCGTTGGAAAATGAATCATGATGTAGATGGTAAAAATTGAGCCCTCTCATACGTCCCCTCTTTCATTCTATGCTGCATTGAATACCCCACGGATCAGGATTCCCACTGTGTCAGACATGTATCAGAATGTATCTATACCACCATCCATATGATAGAGAGAGTTGGTTTGCGTCAATGAGTGTTGACATCCCTTCTTTCTTGCATGGCAGCAGTAAGGGAAAGAACAAGAAAATACATTACTCCAGTGTGGATTCTCCTCAGCCAATGCAACTAAAACTAATGAGGGAGGAAGTGCTGGATACCACAGAGAATGCTAAGACTGCAAAACTTGCCTGAACTGCCTTGAAATCCCTTGTGACCTTGTTCGTTATGTTATAAGGGCTATAGTTTCTTTTTGAGAAGCCCAAGGCCTTTGCATAGTGACTAAGGTATTTTTTTTCCCTTTCTTTTCTAACATGTTTTTTTCATGTAGTTGCTGAGTCTGATAGCAAGTGCTACTTCTCTAATCAGAAAGCTCTCTGTTGAGGAGAAAGAAGGACCAGAAAAAGTGCAGTAAGAGAGAACTATAGTCAGTAATACAAAAAAAAATTGAAGTAATTGCAATAAAATGGAATATACTATTTTTTCCTCTTATGCTAATTGTAGTATTTAAGAGAGAGATTAAAAAAAAAAAAAAAAAAAAAGAGGCTGGAACATCAGTATGAAGGACTTCAACTTCAATCCTAAGACACTTACCTGCGGTGTAGCTTCAGAGAAAAATGCCAGGCCAGCTAAGAAAACAAGAAATACAGAGCGAAAAGCCATTGTGGCTATCACTAGGAATTCTCAATGGCAGCAAGTAGAAACTGATGAGATCTGTGATTTTTATATCAAGGCCTCTAAACTAAGACTGTTTATCAATTAAAAAAAATGCAACTGACTTTGATCATGCTGATTCTTACTATTTACTTAGTAAATAATGAGAAAATAAGTAACCCATACAAACATGAACCTTGTCTGTGAAAATACATCCACTTTATTAATGCCTGTGGGAATAGTGAATATTGCCTAGCTTAACTGCAGCAATCTGTTTTCTTGGAAGCAATGTCTATTCTGTTTTGTTTCTCTTCTCGTTGAACATTAGTTACAATAGTACTGCTGAAGTCTCGTAAAGCTAAGAAAAATAGAAAGATCTTGTTAATTCAAAATGTCCATTTAATTGAGTATTCCTCTGTGGTAATAGTATGGCATAATCAACTTATCCATGTTTACCTATTAAGCAATTTCTCTGTGTGGTAAATATGTAACATGTGACCTGCTCGTTTTCTTATGTATTCCCATGGAGAAAAAATACCACATTTGGTTTCTAGCACAGCAATTACATACTTACATACCCATTTCTGGAGCACAGCTAAACAGCATTTTAAATTCTGTTCCTTTAGTAGTTCCTTATGTTTCATACAACTTCAGAAGTTTACATGTATAACTGCAAGTCAGCCCTCATCAGAAGTCTCTTTTTCATTTTAGGTAAATACTATTTCCAGAAATGAGATTGTCTTTATACATATGAATGACTACATGCCCAGCTAGGACATTAACTTCTTTTTTTAATGTCTATGGTAGGAATATATTTACATTTTGTTCAGAAGGCTGGCCACAGTCCAGTGCAAATCAAACCTACTGGTTTTCAAGCTTTAGGAATTGCAGAATTCCATGAAATGACATTCATGCTTTAAGATGGGTGCTGTTTTGAAACTGTTTGCACTGTCTGCTAGAATTGCGTAAATGTGGTAGAGTCCAGAAATCAGGGAGCAAAGTAATCAAATAGCAGAATGTTAAAGGCTTTTGTAACCTTGTGAATTCTCTTGGTATAGAGTCATCTCAGCAGGTTCCTATGTAGAGATTAGCTCCAAGGTCAGTAGCAGATTAGTGCTGATAGTTCCGGAATGGCTGAGTTCAGTAATGTTCTGTGTTATTTCTGTAATCCCATTAAACAACAATTCTCTGCTTCTGGATATCATAAATACAATCAGCTATCTTTCTACAGAAATTACTGTTAGAGCCTTCAAATGTTTGAGTCCATTTGTCAACATTGTTTGAATCACAGTCACTCCAAAATTTACCTTGTCCTTCTTCTAAAATTTTGAAAATAGTATTAAGGTGATGCTTCCATTTTAGGAATTTGTTGTTTTTTTTTTTTTTTTTTTTCCAACAGACATTCAACTTACTAGAGGTAGCCAACTGTATTAAAGAGCAGAGCTTTTACAACAACGGAAACTGAAATTACACCAGAACTTCCTAGATTCAGTGAGCAGCAATCCTTCCCCATCAAATCAACAAAGTTTGCCTTGAAATTTTGAGAAGAGCTATACAGATCTTAGCTCAGCTCTCTGCATTTGTATACCTTAAAAGACTTTCTATATTGTTTGTGTTGCTGCTAGTTATTCAGAATTTCTCCTATTTACTCTGTGACCTAGTTGATAGAGGGATCCTATCTTCTGTGTGTAAACCAAGTAACATGAATGAGTTTCACGTTTTGAGTATACTTGTCTGATTTATGTATTTTTTAAGATAGTAGAACTCTGTCTTATTTTGAACCAATGCATTTGTTGAGATTTTTTTTAGGACAGTGGGGGAAGTTAACAGAACCAAATCAAGTGTTAATTTACTTCCCTGTGCCACGCACTGTTTCTAGATTTCATTTGTACTTGAACGCAAATCATAACACTTTAGGACATAATAAAACTTGACCAATAGAATCAAAACTGTTTTAAAGAAGTTACATTTTATTGACTTGTCTGAATTTTTGCCAGGTTACAAAATGAAAAAAAAAAACAAAAAAAACAAAAAAAAAAAAAACCAAAAAAAACCACAACCAACTAATGTAGCAAAAGGATATGCATTAGCAATAGGAAAAACCTTCCTCCTAAAAACCTATAATAGTCCTAGCAGAGGAGGGAATATATGCATTGACAGTACGTTTTTATTCCTGGGGATCACTGACAACAGCAGTTGTTGAGTAAGAGAAAGGACTGAGGAGAGCAGCGATGGTATAGTGGCGGTGGCCAGAATCATTAGCAGTGAACACCACCTGGAAAAGAGAAAACTTGTAATCAAGAGGAACAATGTGTATTCAAATCTAGCTTAACATTTAATTTTAGGAAGCATACTCAAATTGCTGCAAACTGCTTTGCCAGCTCTGTTCAGAGATTTCACCCCTGCAAATGCTCACCGTTACTTTGTAACACTGAAGACTGAGAAATTAGTGGGACTTGGACTCGTGTCTGTGAAAGTTCAGTAGAGACAGCTACCACCTGAATCAGGTATGCACATTTCTAGTTTGTAATGTGGAGTAGGGGGATGAGAGGGTGGTAACTAAACCAACCAGTAAGAAAAACAGAGGTGAAATACACTAACTCAAATACAATGTCTGTATTTAAACAAGGCAGGCAATGGTGATGGGTCAGTTTTTAATGCAAGAAATGAGTTGCTAGGCGTGCAAGAACAGAAAGACCCTTGTCCTAAAAGAATATGAAGGATATGAATTCCAAATACTTCCTGGAATTTGGAATACACAGCTCCCAGGAAAGTGCCGTCAATTGGATTAGGCTCCCGCATTCTTTGGCTTTCTTTAGTCTAATACTCGAACTACTTTCACATCCATGGTGTATTTCTTACATGTGAGAACTATAGAGTTCCCTCCTGTATCCATCTTGTCAGTCTCCAAATGGATGGAATCTGAGGACTGTGGGCTACCTTTTAATCATTTGTTAAACTTTGTCCACTTCCCAGGACAGTGGAATGACTTATGGAATCATAGAAGTAAAGAATCACCAAGGTTGGAAAAGACCTCCGGGATCATCCAATCCAACCATCCACCTACCACTAATATTTCCCGACTAAACCATATTCCTTAGTACTACATTTAAACATTTCTTGAACACCTCCAGAGACAGTGGCTCAACCATTCCCCTGGGCAGTCCATTCCACAGTGCTTGACCATTCTTTTAGAGACAAAATGTTTTCTAATATCTAACCTGAATCTCCCCTGGCATGACTTAGTCATCCTCTCTAGTCCTGTCATTAGTTATGTGCGTTGAGAGGCCAACACCTGCCTCGTCATAACCTCCCTTCAGCTACAGTAGTACATCAAAAGAAGGCATCCTCAACAACCTATCTGGAACAATCTCAACCACGTGCCTTTAAGCACCTTTGGAGGTGAAGGTCTTAGGCCCCATCTGTATTTTCAGACATTCAAATGATTCAGGAATATTTTCAGGATTGTCTGTTTGACCTAAATCGCTCAACTTGCTCCTCAGGCTTCTATAGATCTGGGACTCAGTCATTTGTTTTAGCCTTCCAGAGATCTTAAAATTGCAATTTAGCATGTTTTACAAAGAAATTCTGTAGCTGTTCCAGAACGCTACATATATAACATGACAGTGATCTGTTTTACTGCTCTTTTGGTGTGAAAGCGCTGTATTTTCTGCGTCCAGCTGATACCACTACATGGTACGTGGGTTATTAGGTGTGTTCTCAAATACTTACATCAGCATATTCATGGAATGGGGAAAGGCCAAGTCCCTTCCAGTATGAACTGGTGTCAAACTCAACTCTGTATACTCCTTCTACAAACTGTTCTTCTGTTGTGAGCTCATGGATCTCGCCATACTCTGTGGTTTTCCTGCAATGATAAAATACCTACATAAATATTTTGTATTGTCCTTTAAATGCTGGGCAGAAACAGTCAGTGTTGAGTGTTAAATAGCACAGGTGCTGCACAGCCAAATTTGACATTGAATGATTTTTAATCATGTGAAATAATTCCTTCCTGTGTAGCCTATGCTTCCATATTGCAGAATCTGTCTCAGCTACCAACTTGTTCATGTATATCACGGTTGGTCATCTTTCTTTGCTGTTTGGTCATCTTTACTGCTATGGCAGGATTGCATTTAAGGCCTCTGCCTTAATATCACGTTTAACTTGTACCAAGTGCTCTCTGGAGACAAATGTCAGTGGCTTAGGAAAAGGACTGTCATGATGAAAGGCAAGATGCCAAACATCAAATTATAATTAGAGAAAAGAGATTTTAGTGGAAAATGATTTTATTCACTAGATATTAACACTGAGACTATGGATTTTACATCTAAACCCTGATGGATTTTTATATGACCCTGAATGGTAATGTCTTGGAACAGCAATTTAGCATCACAAGATTTCGGTAATTTGTATTATAGTGCAGTGGTCAAAGAGCAGGGACTGCTTCCACTGGGTGTCGTGTAAATGAGAAATAGGAATTCCCAGCTCAGAGAGGCTGTTTATTCAGTTTGTAACAAAATACTGGGTGGATAACATCCAGAAACAAAAAGGAAATATAGCTGGTTTTGCATAGCACAGTCTGAAAAAGACCAGGCTTTGTATGACAGCTGCTGAAATATTTAGCTACTGAGCTACTAAACCCCTTTTATGCCTCTACTTTCATATTCTTCCCTCAATCTTTTAAACTTATTTTACTTTTTTACTTAAAATGTTTATATAATATCACATTTCATAATCACTTGATGTATTTGAAGGAAACGTTAAAACCCTGGAATAACTTTCTATAAATGGGACAGAAGAGACAGAAGAAGAAGAGAGAGGGGATAACACAGTGACCTACAGCTTCTTATCAGAGAAAGAAACCATTGTGCTGTCACAGCTTTTCTTTCCCCACCTCCTCCACCTCAGCTGTCTTCTTTTCAGTTATTGATAGTGCATAAAAAAAGTTATGATAAATTAAGAAGTCATTTTAACTCTAGCACTTTGAAGACTGACCAAAGCATTACAGCATGAGACTAGTCTAGCTGAAATCAGCTGTATCCCGGGAAGACCAAACTTGTACTAAGCCAAGCCCTGATTGAAACATGGCTCCAGGCAGTTTGTGAGAAATTTTCTTTTAGTTTAATTAGTACTTCCAGCCTTAACCTATCCTGATTTAAGAAAAGGCAATAGACAGAATGCTGAATAATTCATTGGTGAGTGTTCATGTGTCCTTGAACTTGTGAAACAGAATTGCTGAAATTCTGTAGAAGTGTTTAAAGTGCAAATTAGCAATTCAGGTATATCTGCTTAGAAGCTGGATAGTTAAGACATAAACCAGTTAAAAACAAACATGGTATCTGACCGAAAAATCTTTGTTCAGGTAATACATTTCAGACACTGAATTTTAGAACTGAAAATGAGATTCCTCTTCACTGCCAAGAGTTCATGGCACTTAAAAAAAAAAGAAAAAAAAGAAAAAAAAGGCTAATATGGGGTAGCTATTCCTTGCTAGTGGTCTCACCAACAAAATGCTTAGAGCTGTTGTTGCAGTGACATCCAAAAGGACAGTATATGATTCAGATCCTGGACGGGATTAGCACAAGGCAGAGGGCTCCCTGCCATCAGTCCTGGTAGCAAAATGGTTCAACTCATTCCTTCTGAGCAGCACTTGCATTTCTGTCTGAGCATCTGTATTTATTTCAAATACGCTGTAACTTTCTTCTTCTTTGATGATCCACAACTTAGGTCACATGAGAAATATTTGACAAATGAAACTCTTGAACTTCATTGTAAGGCATAGATTTCCTAAAACATGTGAGGAGTAAGTCAGTCAAAGCTAGTCATGGGAAGAGCTCATATAGAACACAGATCACATGCCTTCCACGTCTCTGTGCCCTCTGGCCTTCCTCAGAGAATGTCTCTGCTGGACTTAAGCTTTTTGTGCATATTTTGGCCAGACTAATTTTGAAATAACCCTCATAATAAAATCAGCTGTTGTTATGGTAACTTCTTCCAAACTTTTTAAATAGTAATTATCCACATTCATGAGTGGCAAGGTGTGTTTGCTTAATTTCCTAAAACTTGTTAGAAAAAACTGAGCAACGACAAGTAAACAAAAACAACCAAACCTAACAAAATATTTCTATGGACATCTGTACAAAAGGGAAAACTTTTACAGTTTTCCTTTTCTTTTTCAGTTTTCTTACAGTACCTAGCAGATGCATATGGAACTTAATAATATTAACCTGACAGCTTCAGTTACAGACTGTGTTCCTTGATTGCATTTGGATTTTCAACATATTTATTACAGATAAACTCTGCTTTTCCAAAATAAAAACATTGAAAGTGAGCTTGAAAAACTATTTCAAATAAGTGCTTTCAGCTAAAGTCAGCGGTGTCACTGAAGGCAGCCTTGGTTAAGAAGGAAGTCAAAGGAGAGGTCGCAATCTTTACCTGCAATAAAAATGGTGGTTTAATCTTCCTTTACAGCTTTCCCTGGCAAAAAAACCTAATGCTTCTTTCTTGCCTGCAAATAATCTCCTCATTTATTTATTTAATTATTTTAAATACATACTTTGATTTTTCTCAGATTTTCTCTGTGACCCAAAGTGCCAAAAGAACAAAGGCTAAGAACTACCACACGACTTGTCTCCTTGAGCTTCTTAAGAGCAGCCTTGCAAACTGAACTGTTACATTCACAATGTGACTATTCTTAACACTGATGTTGCGTTTATCTTATTACAGTGTAGATTCTATTGTATATTGCATATTCAAGACCAATTGATGAAGCATGCAAAATAATCTCAATTTCCTAGCAGCAGCACAAATTCTTGTTAAGAACAAAAGCATAGCATTGTTTCCACTTCCCCTGAAAGCAACCTGTCAATTTTTAGAGTTTCTCTGTTTTCTCCTTGAAGTATATAAGACTATTCCGAGGGCCATTTATTCCCTTATTACCATTCATTATTTCATAGAATTATAGAATCACAGAATGACTTGGGTTGGAAGGGACCTCAAGGATCATGAATCTCCAACCCCCCCACCACAGGCAGGGCCACCACATGTAATACTAGACCAGGCTGCCCGGGGCCCCATCCAACCTGACCTTCAACACCTCCAGGGACAGAGTATCCACAACCTCTCCGGGCAGCCTGTTCCAGCACCTCACCACTCTCATAGGAAATATTCCCATATTTGGGAATGAAGTTGTTCGTTTCTCCTCTTAACTTTTCTGTTCCTTTTCAAAGGGGAAATTTTTCTAGTTTTGTTTTGAATTTTATAAGATAAACCCAATGGAGAAAGGCGTATCTCTCTTTGCAGTTTTTTCTATTTCCTTCTGCAGCTTTTATGTAAATCAAGCTATAAAATCCTACTAGAAAAGCTGGATTCTCCAGTGGCTGCTGTCCATGCTTGTGCTTGTCATTCTGTATTCTAACAACCTGCTGCTGCTAGAAACTTCTCTTAATTAAAAACCTGATTTAGTGAATTCTTAGAGTGAAACTTAAATTGATGGGGTGTTCAGGCATTTGAATTTTAGAAAACTGTGTCCCTCTGTTTCTTTTATTTTTATAGGAAGGAAAGATAGCATTGAAGCAATGAGTAAAATGTGTTTATTAAACCTACACCCCTACAAAGGTATGACAAGAATCTTGACCATTTTTTTTGCAACTTGTATGTATTTCAGTGACAGGTAAGTTCCACTTGAATCTGATGAGTTTCAGACCAGAATTCATGTGCTGTTAATGGTGACAGAAAACTTCAGCAAAAAACATTATCAGAGCTCTGTTCCCTTTATTTCTCTTCTGTTCATTCAAGGCCCTTTGAAAAAATATCTCAGTAAGACCACATGAATAACTTACCCAGTAGCAAAGTCCTGCCAGGTTCCATCTGCAGCCTTTTTAAAGACTTTAACAGCTACATTAGCTGCAGGACTTCCTCTGACTGCATCCAGCACTTTCACCATGAGAGGGCATTTGGAATCAACAGAGCCGTGGGAGACCTGGGGGAAAGCAGGAGAGGTTGTAAAGGAGCTGCTCACTAGCCCTGCAAAAACCTACTTTCAAAGAGTAGACGGATTCTTATTGCAGAATTAATGCTGACTTGGAAGGAATTTCTTTGCCAGATGATGTGCAAAGCCAGTCCCCAAGATTCTGTTTTGTCCCCCATACGGAAGAGTATCTTCAATGTTTATACAGATCACTTTATTTTACACACATACATATGCACACTATTTTAGAACTATTTAGAGTTGCATATAATCCTGGAAAAAATGTTATAGAAGAGATACTTTTTTAACGAGATTGCAAATAGTAAAGTAGTAAGTTAATATAAGTGCAGGCAGAGTATGTTAGCCTAGGCAGCCAACAGCAAATACCTACAGTATCATTAAGGGTGAAAAGATGTTGCTTCCTTAAACTTTGCTATACTATAGTACATTCTTAGTCATGCTTTAAAAATATGTAAATTTCTTTAGAGAAGCACTTGTTTGGTGGAGAAGCTGTCTCTGTTCTGAAGATATAGGATGCGAGTCACAAGCTGACAGAAAAAGAAAAATGAAAGTTCATATCTTCTATATACCAGACCCTTTTGTAGTATCCTAAAATAAATAGGTAAATGGTGAAATAAAAGCTGTGTAAAAAAGTGGTAGTAAAATAACACTTCAGGACTGTCTAATGGTTGCATAATTTCATGGTTGAGGAAGATGATAGTCATCTAGAAAATAGGGGTTATAACTCTTGTAATGATTGAGTTTGAATTTAAAAAAAAAAAAAAAAAAAAAAAAAAATCACCAGTGGTGCAGCTTCAGAGAGAAATACCAGCCCAGCTAAGAAAACAAGAAGAGTAGAGTGAAAGGCCATTCTGCTTGCTTTTAGTGAGTCGTGGTGCCAACAGCTAGGAGCTGATGAGATTTGGGATTTTATACCCAACCCTACAAGAAAACAGGCTGCTTATTGGGTGCCCATATGACTACAAATCTGCTGATTCTGATTATTTGCTTAGTAAACAGTCCAATCCTAGAGACAGTCCATGAATAATGCTGCCATTGCAGTCAATGGAAGAACTGCAGGATCACTAGAGTAAAGAGAATAAGTAACGGACACAAACATGACCCTTGCCTGGGGAGATTAAACTTGTAAAAAGCCCTCCACAAAACAATGTAAGCAACCTTTCCTTGCCTAGAAGTCCAGCCGGTTCTAGGAGACGTTCTCTTGCCCTCAGACTGTGCATGATAGTGCCCCAGTGTTCTCTCTGTATGTTTTGTGCTTCTTCTCTCTTTCTTTTAATGCTTTCCAAAGACTAGCTCCCAAATATAGATGTGGAGTCAATATGAGCGATGGAGTTCGGTTGCTGCCTAGCTCAGGCAGCACTAATGGTCTAAGCATGGAGACAGATTCCCATGTCTGATCCCGCTTGTTTAAAAGGAGCATTGTTTCTTTTTGCAACTTACTCTAGATGTCCCCAAGGATTCATCATACCTAATTTTCAGGCAGATGCTGAAGCTTCCTCTTTGTCACTGGAGAGAGACCTAGAATGACCTGTCCTTCTGGGAAGATAGAGGTTTAAGAAAAGTGAGAGGAGTCCTCTCTTTCCTCATGGCACACCAGAATAAGCAAAGCCAAATGGTAGAGATCAGTAGCTTAAATTAAAATCTAATGGTCAAACTCTTATCATCCTGGCAGAGATACTGTTATGCTCTACAATGTACGTTTTGATAAGAGTAGTTTCAGGGGTGAATTTGGCCCCAGTGTAAATTGGAAAGGAGATTGCTGTTGGAAGAATATGCATGGGATAGCTGGGTTTTTTTAGCTACATTATATAAAGCTTGTCTGTATTGCCTGTGCTCGTTGAATGAGAAAAAATTTTCTTTTGGCATTTCCTTCTTCCCATGTCCTAAAGAATGACTTTATATTTCTGCTCTTTGGAGGTGATAAGCCTAATTCTCATTTCAAAATATTCTAACAAAAAACATTTTTGCCTTCTAACTTTGGTCAGATTATGATGAAGAGCGAGTGAGTTTATGGACAGTGTTCTCCAGAGGTTTTCATGCTTTCAGATGGCAGTAGTCTGTTCTCTCTAAGCAAAGTTGTTTTTTGGAAAAAAAATCCATATTACAGTAATCTTCCAAACTGAAATCAAAGTACCCTTTGGACTTACAGCAAAGCAAGCTGATACGTAGGTAGGTTTCTATGTTCAATTTCCATGCATAGAAGTTAGTGCAAGGTGACCAGCAATAACAAATCATGCTGCAGCCTAGTGCTTGTGAGTTCTCTTCAGGCACTGGAGAGGTAAATACTGCTCTTAGATCGGTGCATCAGTGCTTTATTTGCTTACTTTGCTCTCTGTGGTTTGCAAGTATTTCTCTGAAGCAGTAAAATTTTGTACATCAGGACAATAAATGATCTGTGTTTTAATTAAAAAAGACTTTCCTCTCATTTGCTATCTGCTTTTCTGCAAGGGAAAAATGTCAAGGAGCTAATGAGCCTAATTGAACCTAGAATTCCTTCTTGTGGGAGAATGACTTTAAAAAAAATAATCATTTTTACTAGGTTTTACTGCAAGATAAGAGTTTCTGAAAAACTAGGTCTAAAAGGACAGTATATTTCATCTGTCTGTATAATCTATTTTAGTTTCCTCTTATAAAACGACCTTTTGGTAGCTGGTTTTTGAAGCAGATGAAATAAGCATAGAAAATTCCAAACATTATTTTTACTTTATTTTTTTTCTCCTCCTTCCATTACAGGTTGGTTTTGGTTTTTTGTTTTTTGTTTTGACTCTTCCCATCCCATCCATAATTTAAATAGGGATTCTTTGACTATTAGCAGGGCCACCATTCTGAAAGGAAAATAAACTCTTGTGTTTGTGATTCCCTTTGAAAAGGTAAACACCTTTAATATTCCTCCAATCTGGAAGGTCACTGAACATCTAGAACTTACACAAAATTCTATTAAAACCCCATTTAAACCTAATTTAAAATTAATATAGTCTAGTGAAACGAATGATAGTCAGACCTTCCTCCTTCTCTTGCAGTATTGATACAAATACTGCAAGTGAAATAGTTTTGGTAAAATGCATGGGAATTTCTGGAATATACATATATTGAAATATTAGCTGAAAGAAAAACGCATCTGCTTGGAGTGACAAGAAATGAAGACACAAAAAAAACCCCAGCAGATAGAGGCTCCTACTTGGCAGGATTTAAAAGGAGAAGGGAGGGGTAATTCTTAAAGGACATGGCTGCAAAATTGCTGTCATCCAGGTTGCATGTGTGTTTCTACTGGGAGAGATTTTGACATTTGCATCCAACTGAGCTCTAACATTTCATAGAATTTACCCACCTCAGTGAATGAAATCTTACTACCTTGAGCAAGAATCAAAACACTTGACTGTAAGGGGTAAGAAGGAAAAAGGAGATGAGTAACTGCTGAACATCTGAAAGTGATGACTGACTGTTGTCTATCATATCTACATCCTCTCTCTGTAATGGGAGTCTGAAGTTTATAAGCAGAATATTTTTCAGCTTATAAGGGAAATGAAAAGAAGCTGAACATTGAGGAGCAAGCAGGGCTAAGAGCAAACAGACTTCTGAAGCAGTAGGGAAGAGCAAGAGATTGGTGGGCAATACCCAGAGCCTCTGCTAGCAGGGTATGTGCCACAAGAAAAGGGGTGCAACACAGAACCTTAGGCATGGGGCAGCAGCATAAAAGCCCTACTGCAGGGAGAGAGTAAATGCAATCACTGAAGACACCTCGAAAGAAAGATATTTAGAAATCCTAGTGTGGAAGAAAAAGTAGGGTTATGTAGCTAACATGGAAACAGAAAGAGGCTATTTGGTACTGAAGGGCACTCAGAACCCAGAGTCAGGAAGAAACGTGCAGAGTGATTAGAAAGCTGAAGGAGAGAAAGGCAGAGTCCCTAGTGTACACAGTAACCATGATCCTATGGAAACCAAGAGGCATGAGACACCCCCAGCTGTGGAAAAAAATTAGATAATCCTCAAATATGTAAATACTCTAAAGCTTATCTGAATTCCAAATCAATTGAAGCTCATCTCTGAAGAATTAGAATTAATGCCTATTTTTAGAGAAAAGCGTGTTCCCTGCTTGGAAGCTTTACAGCGTTCAGGTCAAGAACAAACATGTCCCATTAATACTTTTGTTTGTGTCAAGGCTTTTTCCAACTGCTTTGCAGTATACCTTTCTCTCTTCTGCATGGTCTCGTACAGTTATGTTTATTTTACACAGATAATCTCTTTCCTCTCTGCTCCGTTCTCTTCTGTTTGATTTTATTTAGTAAGCCAACTGTTTCTACATGGCATAATGTTCAGACAGGATGGTACTGCTGACTTTGAGCATCAAGTACTGTAAGCTACTCGTTTGATACTGGGAGGAAAGGGGCTGATGGTAATCTGGATAAATTTCCCTAGCATTTTTTCTAAAAAAAAAAAAGGAGTCTATAGTATAGAGATTTCAGTATGGCATTTTTTCCTGCCCCACTTTTCTGGGGTTACTTTCCATTAGTACTTAAGAGGAAAAGACCTAAGATTTACTTCTTGACTAAGTTTGCCTGAACATTATAGGACAAGGGGAAATGGTTTTAAGTTGAGGGAGGGGAGATTTAGGTTGGACATCAGGGGGAAATTCTTTACCCAGAGAGTGGTGAGGTACTGGAACAGGCTGCCCAGAGAGGTTGTGGATGCCCCGTCCTAGAGGTGTTCAAGGCCAGGTTGGATGGGGCCCTGGGCAGCCTGGTTTAGCATTAAACGTGGAGGTTGGTGGCCCTGTGTGTGGCAGGGGGGTTGGAGATTCATGATCCTTGAGGTCCCTTCCAACCCTGGCCATTCTGTGATTCTGTGACTGAACTAGAGTCAAGGACTATTAGCAGGGCCACTATTCTAAAAGGAAAATAGACTCTGTATGCCTGTGATTCTCTGTGAACAGGTTTTACTCCAGGCATCTGCCAGTGAGTTGCTGTGGCTGAACTCTGGCACATTAGGGTGCTGCTGGGATCAACGAGAGATTTTCCACTGATTTTGCTATTTGCTAATGATGCACCATTTTTCCACTCTGCAGAGCCAGGAATAGTACTTTGCTGATTAAAAAATGTGCTCAGAGAGATTCATGCATGAGTCTGAGTTTTCAAAGAATTGCTTTAAAAATAGTGTGAGTTCAGATGTGCTTGCTGAGTGCATGTTTGTTAGTCTGCTGTACATTTTGATTCTGTATAGGGAATATGTTTATGTTTAGAGTTTTAATGATCATTCTCCAATTACCTTGTTCCTAACACTGGGTCATTAAGTGGGAAGGAAATATTACTGCTCTGAAATACAAAAATAAGAAAATCATTCTTACGTTATACACTACATGAAACACAACTATTCTGTTAGCAAGTGACTTAGATGACAGATGTGTTGGGTTAAGTTTCAGGTAAAAAATCCCAGTTTTTGGTCATATCCAGGTTACATCCCAGGATGCTCCTTGGACATAGCCCGATGTCTAAAAAACTGAAACATCTAAGTAGATGATGCTTGCTCTGGGGCATTTGTGATTTCTGAATTCACCTCACACCTTCTCATCGGAGCAAGCTTTCACTCTGAAGTGTTTCAGCTCCAAAGGTGGCTGGGCATTGATCAGTGCTACTTTGTTAGTTTCCTCTAAAACAAGCTTCTGTTCTTCAACTTCAGTATGTATTCATGCTTACATACCAATCCATCAGTCTAGACAAGTAATTGCAAAAATAAACCCCATCTCAATTTACACACAAAACTAACTTCATAATTCTTGCGCCAACCCTGGTGCCTTAGCCTCTTGTATTGCTGAAAAATGCTTTGAACTTGGCACGAGATCAATGTTTTTTGAAGCTCAGTTTCTTTGTTAGCAAAATGGTGAAAGTTGTTCTTGTTCATTTA